GTAGTCCCCCCCCCCAAGTTAGGAAATAGAATATCTGCAGTTGGCATAATCTGATTTAAATTCACATAACATTCCAACTTAAAAGTTGTCAGTACCTGCCAGTAGCTTTTAGTAGCTAACAATTAGTTAAAGTATTTTTTTTCCAGTATATACCTAGCTAACATTAACTAGTAAAGATGAAATTGCAGCAAAACATCCTGTCATTCATTTGTGATATATTTGCAAAAAAACATTACAAAGCCAGCCTGTTAAACTTGGTCACCTTGGTCAGGAGATGAAAGCTTGCTTTGTCGGTTTTCATAGCCGAGTCTATTTGATTTGATAAATTCTGAGACGAGCCGCAACTTAACCGCGCGAGTGAACACATGCCGACATACCGACATGTGCTGCCCTTAAGACTAAACAAGAAAACTTCAGACTTTATGCAGCTATACGGTATGCAATAATTAGTTTTGAATTAGTCGAATCATAAAATTGTATTAGGAACAAATTCTTCTTTCAGTACAAAACCAACTCACATGGATTTTAAAATCAAATGTTGCTATTGATGAAAGGCTTTCTTTGCTTGATGTTAAAAGCAGATTACTGTAATAACTTTTTCAGAAGCGTCATAATAAGAAAGACCCCATACGTTTTGTACAAAAAAATTACTTTTGTCTTGACACACACAACTAATTGACTCATTGAAGAAAAAAGTGCAGACATTTAAAATATAATTGGAAAAGCATCTTTAGAAGAGTCTTCTGATTATTATGGCAACTACTACTTATTTTCTCAGAGCTCGTTGTTGTGTTGTATCTAATGTTTCATTGTACGTACATGTAGGAATGGATATCATGTAAATTTAATGAGTTAAGTTAATGTCTATGGGTGTAGCTGTTCAGTGACACTATGAGTGTAGTGCTGCACAATACAGGAACACTTGCACAACTAAATGCAATTCAAAACAGTAAGTAAGGAAAAAAATACTGTATGTTGTATTTTGAGACTTTGTTAGAGCTTGTATTCAGCATAATTCATAGCTGCAGCTGTCATTAGGGCTGTTGGTGCCACTTATCTGCCCTTCTGGCTCTAAATACCACACTTGGTCTTAATTTCAACAAACATCAAATACGTCATGTCACCCTTTAAGGTTTGGAAAAAGTGTTGTGAAAGGGTCTCCTTTAATCCAAGTAGTCTTCAGCAGAAACCTGCATCTACTACAGATAGGATTGTTAGTTTAGCAACAGAACAATGTTAGAAAACGTTATATGTGGAAATACTCACTCGTATCCGCTGCACTTCCAAGAAGACAGCTCTTTGGAAGGACTTCTCCCAGATAGCCAGGTCAGTGGCCAGCTCTACCCTGAAGGTGTGGCTCTGGCTGTGGCCCACCAAAATGCTGAAGCACAGAGACTCATTGTCTTGCTGCTCAGGCGAATGCTCGAGCCCCAAGTAGAGCCTCGCCTGGAGCCAGCAGTCCTCTGCCATCCACAGCTGGAACACAAAATTTTAATTAGTACATGTTGGGGAATAGGTTTTGCTGTCTCTTCACTTTCTTAATGCTGGATTCAGTGGGTGAAATGAAGAGTACATTCCTTAATTCTCAGGTTAAAACGAAAAACTTCAGTGAGTGCATTTTCTGGTTCGTGAATGACCCCGTTTTGTAGACTCCCTGAAAATACTATTCTATCTGCTAAAGAAGAGAAAAACAGCCATCTACACTGAGATGAAAACTGTAGGGATACAATTTTGAACAGCACCCTGCTCTTAACATACCTTGTGGACCTTGAAAAGAACCTCATAGAGGTTATATGTAGTTTCAGCTTGTCCCCAGTCAGCAGCACTGATCTAAGAAACAAACATCAAGGAATGTGAGATGAAGCAGCGGCATATCAAAACAAGCTTTTTTGCACTTGTTAGCAGCAGCACCTCCTTATCCAAATACTAAATGCAAATGAAAGCTAGGCAGGTAGCTTAGTTGTGTGAGTGCCCGCATGACTGCCAGTGTCAGTGATCAAAATGGATTTATCCCGTTGAACTCAGCAAGTAGAAAATGTATCCACAAAGACGAGGGTATCCCCACGGTGTAACAAGTACAGACATACTCGCAGTAATATTTCAGTAACAACCATAGGAGAGAGATACTCATTTAAAGATCCAACATCACATTTGCTTTAGTACAGAGAACTGAGTAAAAACTGGAACTCCCAGGTTTAGGCAAGTAAAAACATTCAAATCAATCAATCATTCAAAATCACATTTGTAATACAGACATTTTGACAGGTTACAGTAGGAAAATGTAAATTATAGAACTAATTGCTGAATTCCATTTAGTTGCTTCAGGGTCCTGCTATTGTTCATGCTGGTTCACTGTCACACTGTTATGGCCTACTGGGACACTTGAAGAGAACCAAGCCGTTGTTGACACCTGTGTTTTTGTTACTATAACAAATCAAAAGGTTTACTGTGAGAAAGGCCTGTGAGGCATGTAGTTCTGCCATTGCTGTAATACCAGCAAGACAGAAGGGACTTTTTTTTTAACAGAGCAGAGAATAGAGCTAGAAAGAGGTGAAAAAACACAATAGAAGATAGCATATGCAGATATTATGGATATTCAAGTCATCAGGTTACAACGGAATAAGCATGCACCATACCACGCTGGTACATTTTTCATGATTTGAGCTGTAGTTCTTCCGAATGCAAACTATGATGACAACAACAACAACAACCAAGGATTAAAACATTTCAGGACTGTGGCAAATAAAATCAGACAATATCAGATCACTATCAGATACCCAACAATAATATAATGTGAAAATGATAATAATAATTATGATAATAATAAAACAGATAAGACATGATGGAAATAAAATGTGTCTTAGCATTAATAAAAAGCTTTTTTAAAAAGATAAGTTTTAAGAAGTTATTCGTCAGATCCTTAGGCAGGGAGTTCCAGTGCTGAGGGGCCCTGACTGTAAAAGCCTGGTCACCTGCCTGAGGATCCGAGGCTGCAGAGAAGCGATTCAGCAATATAACAGGAAGCTAAACCATAAAGTGCTTCAGTAAAATCTTAAAAAGAATTGTAAAACTTACATGCAATCAGTGAATTCAAATATGCAAACAAAATGACAACTGCAGTTGACTCGTACTATAGAGTAAACCCCAGGAACACGTTTTTACATTTTCTTAAAGACGGATGGAGGAAATAATGCGAGATTATAAGCAAATAATGGAGGGATTAATCAAACTGCAAGAATATATAAACAATAAAGCATATCATTGCTGAGGTGGAATGGAATAATTAAAGTGGTGCTTCTAACACGTTAAAATGCATGACTATGCTATAAGTTTGCAGCACGCTACACTGAGCAGTGGGCACATTTTTACACAGCACGCACACTAATGGAGACCGACAAGAGGCAACTAAGTAGATTCTGTTTTTTAGGGCACGTTTTATTAAATCATATGCACTAATGCTATCCTGGTACATATTCAAGTCCTCTCTAACTCACCTTCCATATTTTAACAAAAGCCAGAGGATAGGTCTGGCATTTCACAACCCACCAGCTGCACAAGGCTTTCAGTTCATGCAACCATAATATCAATGTCTCCACAATACATTCATTATGTTTAATGCAATCCGTTACAACTCTGGCTAATGATCTCACTAACACGTTGTCAACATGATTTGTTGGTCCCATTTGATTGGCCTGTATCAAGTAAAATAACACTCTTCATTTTTGCAACTGCTCTGCATTCAGATAAAAGTTTACTGCAGTTCTCACCTGCTCCCTCAAGCTATAGCCTCAACCTCAGAGAGACTTCAGTCTCTGCATCAGAAACAATCTTGCATTTCTTTGCCGGTAGCATGTTCAGCTTAACGAGACGTCTGACATTTCCTGCAGCATTTAGACAACTTCTACACCCTATATGATCCATTAAGGCCATTCTCTTATGTTAACAAGTGTCTTTACAGACATGTTGATGATGTTTAGAAAGAGCAATATTTATCAAAGCAGATTGCTTACAACTGAGTTTGCACTTTAGCAAACTTTTGACATTTTAAATCCAACAAGAATTTGGAAACTTTTTTGCAGAACAATGATAACTGAAGTCACTTGAGAAAAAGCAGACATCACCCAGAACACTGTTGAAAAATCTGGGATAGCCTTCTCTTTGCTGTGGCGATGCCCCTAGCAGAAGGCAGGCCGCCCCCACACAGGCCCGTTTGATGGTATCAACGTGCTCAGTTTGAGAGTCTTTGCTTAAACAAGGTCAGACTCTGCCCCTGCCACGGAAACAAACAGCTGGAGTGACCATCTCTAATCCTACATGCAGCATCGATACATAGAGGGAATTGCCAATATGTGCCATTCAGAAAGCCACGTCATATGCTACGCAGAGGAAGTCATCTGTGAGCAAACTGGAGTGCAATGCATCGCCCCACAGCAACCCATGTTGACCTACGTTAGGCATGGATACAAGAGTTGCATAATGCATCCACATTATCTTGGAGAGATGAAGCACTTCATTTTCTCCAAAGAGGCTGGTGTCAGTGGCATGGCAAAGGGCAGAATTCTCCATAGGAAATGGACTGCTGGCTGAGAACAGCTGGCCGACCCTCTTAGGTCTATGTCACAGAACTCAAAAAAGACTATGATCCATGTTAGAGGGATAGTTTGGCATTCTGGGAAATACCATTATGTACTCAGTATCAGCTATCAGCCGGTTAGCTTAGCATACATACTGGAAACTGGTTATATGTTCTTTCTTTATCTGTACAAACACCAAGTGTAAAAGTGTTAACATGTCGTTTTTATGTTAGAGGTTGTGCCAGGCTATTTCTTGGCTGGGAACAGACGCTTTGTCTTTTCATCACTGGTTGGCAGACAACCAGCAGAGAATGCAGGAACTTATTTCGCCCAGCTTTATTAAGCTAAGCTATCAGTTTACAAGCTGCAACTTCACATTTGCTGTAGGGCAGCCACCTGTCTCATATAATGCGCAATTGTCCCATATTGAAAAATATAATTCAGTTTCTTACTTAGTCTATACAGGACACAATTTGTCCTGTATTTTTGTGCACACCCTTCTTTCATGCATACACAAGTTTATTGTGAGACATATGGTTAGTACATAGTATTAAATCAGAATTTGTGGAAGAGAATGACACCATTATTGACCTGGTTATGGAGACTCAAAAATATGAGTTTAAAATCTTTATGACCAATCATCTTTGTTATCCTTGTCTGATTTCTGTTGCAAGACAAGGGTCAAAGGAGATGTTGCACTAGAAGCAGCAAAATATCCCTCAGGTACTGAATTTCAATGTTCAGGGCTTCCATTGCCACCATCCTGCTGTCACCACAAGATAAAAGGTACCTCTTGAGAGACAAGATCCTCAAAATGTTACAGATTATAGAACGTCACAAAGAGTGACAGAAAACACTTGGGAGTGCGACAAGGCCCAAAACACACAAGCCGAAGTCTGTCCTTAATGTGCAGCTTTGAACATGATTGAAATCCTGTTGTAGTCTAAAATGTAGAAGAGAAAAACAGGCTTGGGAACCTTCAAAACACACAAGGTGAGCTTGTCAAACTGTGTGAAAGGGTGACGAAAGCTCTCCAACAAAAGGCAGGATAGGCCAACAGAGACTGAACAGCTCACAATGTGCACACCCCCACCTTGGCACTGCAAATCACAGTGTCCAGAGAGTAAACGTGATTAACCTGCCGAAATATTTGCCAAATGAAGTAAGAAGATGAAAGAGGCACATTCTGCACTGTGGTGATTTTTATACTAATGGGAGAACAGAGCTTATGTCATATCACAAACAAACACAGCACAAAAGGCGACATCCTTTGTTCACTCTCCCTGGCAGTCAAGCGGAAGCATTATGAGCTGATGCTGGGAATGTATTAAAAAACATCTAATGGCCAGTGCTAGCCACTCCTGATTCATATCAGGTCAATAGAAAACATTTGATAAACTAAACAGTAAGGTTTTAGTTGCATTGCACACATTGTATCTGTTAATTCAATTTCTTTTAGAATAGATTAAATTCAGGCAACATACTGTCTGTCAGAGGTGTCCTGACAAGCAACTCCTAAAATGATTTAATTATGGTATGTGTCACAGGAGGTATGAGCGCATTATTGTCCAAAACCTGCCAGTTTAGAGGATTTTGCATCCCTGGTAAAAAAGTAAAATTTGTGAGTTCCTCATTGAATGCTTTTCTGGCAAACTGGTCACACGTAAAGACAATGAATATTAAACATATATTGTATTGTATTTATATTATATACGCTAGTCTAAATAAGTAAGTATCAGGAGTACAACGATAAGGGGAAAGGGCCCAGCTGCAAGGTCGACCTAGCAATAATTAAACCCTAAATATAAGGAATGATAAGCAAATTTAACCAAAATACTCACCATTACTTATTAAAACAACAAAAATAAACATTTATTTATTGTTTCTTGAGTAAAATATAGTCTGTTTCATAATGAAAACCCGCTCTCCTGATAATGTTATGAGTCATGCAACGTCAAAAATGAACCACAGCTGGCTGGTAACATGACCTAAGAAATGACTACTAGCTAATATTGGAGTGAATTTTCTTTGCTATTTCAGGACCTGAGCAACTTTTTTCAGTCAGCGCAGAAAGCCGCTCCCTTTCAGGCTGAAGAGGTGAACGATAGCCAGGAGGCTAACGTTACAGCTAACGTTACTAGCCGAGAGGCAGCCAGCGTCAGTGGAGGAGCCACCAGTGACACCACCAACTGTGTCCAACATGCAAAAACTCCTCAAGCTCCATACAAAAACTCATTAAATGTATTATCGGTTGTTATAAAGATTTAAGAATACTGTTTTCAATATCAAGCAGGGTTAGAATGCAACCAAAAACTATGACAGGCTGAATCTATCAGTGAGATCCAGTTAAATTAAGTTTTTTTTTTTGCAGGTTTAGGGAATATTTTCTAGAGCTGTATGGTGGAGTGACACTGGTGACATTGGGTTGGTACTGGTATGGTATTACATAGCTGGTATGAATACACCTTCCACCAGATCAGAGTGAAGTGCAGCTGGTATCAAGTTTGGTTGGAATAAAAAGCTGCTATCTCAAGGTCAAAATGGTGCATAATTACCAATGTAATAGAAACAGTACCATACCTCAGACATGACAAAACTCAAATCTTGCTTTACTTAGTAAGTAATAAGTAGTAATACAATGCATCCCCGGTGATACACGTTGAAAGATCTAATAAAAATCTGATTGTAAAAAGAAAATCAATTGTGTATAACCCTTGTTTCCCTGCCACATATCAGCCATGATCACAACAAATTTAAATTCAACACCAGTTACTGCGTGCCTGTCTTCTTCAATTGTAACTGAAGCATACAGTATTTTACAGCGGCTGCCAACTTGCTTCAAAAACACAAACCACGCAGCGCAGTGGGGGGACAATCACAGATCAGTGAGCAGCAGCATAAAACCATCACAAATTCAAAAAGCCTCTGAACAAATCCTTATGCTGAGCTGGTACTAATTGATCATTTGCACCATTTTGAGTTGAAGTTATGTAGTCCAGTGTGATATCCTTTAGATTTTGAACCCTTTCAAGAGAGCATAAAATTAAGATTTACCATTTCTTTACAGGTTTTATAGAGGTATGAATGAGAAATGAAAACTTTATTTAACTGTAAAATAAATGATAAGAGACTAATTACCGGGGGATTTCTGAAGATATGAAAATACGGTCCTCTCAGTGCCAGGAACTTGAAGGCTGAAGTTCTACCAGCAGTGCTACCCTCAGGGCTTTCACACGCCCAGCCCATGTGAACAATCTGCAGAGATGTAGAGGATGGCACAATTTTACAACCTTTTTTTTTTTTCTTTAAGTGAAAAATGTACACAATAGAAATCTGTACTTCCTCAATCAACAGACCTGAATATCAAAATGTGCACAGTCAAAGGGACTGAGTTAAAGAACAACACTGAGGCATCTTTGAAGTGATACATTTAAAAGATCCTTCACTGTACAGTGGTGCTGCAGTCTTAGCTGCAATGCAACAATTTACCTTTGATCTACCCCAGATTGACTTGGGATGTTTCTCTGCTTTCCTCTAAGCAACATATCTCTGCTACACTGCTTCCTCTGCTACATTTCTAAATCCTGAGCTAAACAATGAACATCATTTTCTACAAGCTGGTCTTGAATCCTTCCTCACCATCTCACCTCACATAATATGAAGTTTGAGGTTTTACCCAAACGGATGACACATCTAAGCCTGATGATGTTTATTTGCTCGTAATACTTTTAAGGAAAGAAGTAAAAACACCCAGTAAACTGTCACAGACCAAACATCTTATCAACATCTCGAACAAGGTTCCAAAAAGAAATACAGGACTGGTGGGTCGAGCTAGGCCAGTGTTGGATTACCTGATCATCTGAAGAGCAGTACTTGTTGATGATCTTTATCTAGGAGAGAAAAATGAAAAAACAAAACAAAAACAACAATGAGTAACGAGTGCAACCACAAAAAGCTGTTAAACATATCATTACACAAAGGTATTCTGTCCTCTTCAAAGAGCTGGGAATGAAACTGTTGAGATAGTCGTTAGTCATAACGCACACATCATCACACCCTATTTATACACCTTTTCTGCTCCTTGCCCAAATGTGCAGGTAAATCCAAATTTTTAATACAGATTTTCAATTTTCTGTCAATTATTACATTTTTGTATATTTTGTATATCTAATGTGTTTAGCTCAGCTCAGCACCAGCAAGGCAGGTAAAATGTGTTTTTTTTTAACATTTATTACTTGAGGAAGCTCAAACAACACTTTAAAGATAATGGCAAACATTAATTCAATATAATGCAATCATTCATTCAATCTCAAGTAATAAAATGTGTAACACTGTACTGTGTAACAGTAAAAACCTGTGTTGAATCTACTTCAAAGTGATTTAAGATGCAGGACCACTGAAGGCCACCTTGAGGCTCCAAAATATACTGTAAAGTCTTTTTCAAGTAGAGGGGATTTAAAAAAAACATGTGATGTACCCACCAAAGAGGAGCTAGCAAACGTATTACAAAGGCTGTTCAAAATGTTGTGTGCCTTTCTTTGCAACAAAATATTATTGTCCATCCAAAAAAAAGTTGTAAATTAGTGCAAAACATTTTCACACTGAATGGACCCCTGCTGTGTCAGTACATCACACTCAGCATGATGGCTGCTCCCGTCTCACCTCAGCTACAAACTGACGGTAAATTGCTACCTGAAATCCTTATATTATTAGGCACGAACAAGCTGCCCAACTCTTTCTGTTTTAGTCTTTCTAAAAGAACATCAAACAACATCAAACAGCATAAAGTAATCCTCCACCATGCCAGATGACAGTCATCCATATTAAAAACACATGAGGGACCCCGAGGGTGTCACAGAGTCTATTTAAAGGTTGTAGGTCATTAAAACAAAAGTTCCGCTCTCTCCCAAAGCGGGCACACAATTACATCCTGATTGGCCATTTAGCAATCACACGGCACGTCCGTAATTAGGTGATGCAGGCATGAATTAATCACACTTTTTAAAAAAGGCAGCTGTGCAATCGACGAGCACGGGCATACAGTACGTCTGCATCCTTAGCAAAAATGCATCACATCATCAGTGTGATAATCAAAGTGAAATAGGAGGAAATGAGAGAGAGAAGTGCACATGCCGAATGACTACTTAGCAGTCATTAATTAGGTATGAGAGAGCCTCGTTTTTGTCAGCAGAGGGGGAGAGACGCCACTGTGTCTCAATGAGTGCTTGTCAGGAAGGGTCTATTAGAACCACGCCACACTATCGTCTATGCGGCTGTAAAAAAAAATCAAAAGGGGAAAATACACGGAACAACTGTGGGCAAAACATATTTATTATGTTTCAATGTTTTCTTTATTAAGATGGGGTCATCTTTAAAAGATCACAAGTGGATAATAGGATAAAATTCCAAGAAAAATACCAAGTAGAAATAAAACTCGAAAATCTGAACCAACTGCATTCCACAATGTTATGCCAGTAAAATGTTACCGGATGTCACAAGAGTTCATTCAAGTTCTCACACATTCAAAATGATCACAAATTTGTGAAAATCACAGTTTCGCTTCCCACCTTCATTTTCAATAAAGACTCAAGGGAAGATCCAACCAGCCTCTAATGTTTAGAGATGGACTTACATTCTCCTGTGTCAAGTCATTGATATTTGTAGATATTGCTTGGAGCCAGTCTGTGCTTTCTGCTGCAGTGCAAAATTGAAGAATATTGGTGCTGGCTCCATCCAAGGCAAAGACTTCAAAACAGTTGGACCTGGAGGAGCATAGAGGTCAAAATTAGACAGGAGCGGTGCAGAAGATTGAAAGCAATATTGCACAAAGTGAAGCTGGAGCAGTTCGTTACTTCTGTCAAGTTACTTTGAGCTGTAAGACTGCTTTAAGAACAGTACAGCCTCTTCCATAAGCTGGATGGGCTTCTGACACCTAATTATAAAAATATCTTCACAACAGATGCTCTGGAGAGGGATTTCTTGACTCCTTACATATCCTCGGGAATGTCAGTAATTTTTGTGTGACAATATTTCTCTAATCATATACTTTCTGTGGTAAGGTTACAACGTCTTTTTATTTCTTTTTTTATTAAATTAAATTTCCCTACAAGATGAAAAGCAGAGCTGAGCTAATGGCTCCAATTAAAAGAAAGCATGGGCAGAAGCTCTCTGTGTGGCAGTGCACATGAATACGCTGTAAGCTGTAGCTAAAGTCAAAAGATTAAAGTTTGTACATTTTAGGAAATACACTTCAGAGGAGAAGACTGATGCCATTCTCATGGCTGTAAATAGAAAGCTATAGACAGCAGTAGTTTAGCTTAACTTAGTTTAATGACCGGAAACAGGAGAAAACGGCTAGACCGGATCTGAAATGTGACAAAATCCACTTACCAGCACAGCTAAACCTGACTAATTAACATGTTATAGCTTTATTATTTAATCTGTACAAAAAACAAAGTGTAAAAAGGTCGATTTGCAGTTTTTTTTGGCTTGGAGCAGTAACTTCATGGAGCCTCTGCTGGCTGCATGGCAACTGCACCGAGCCAATAAATAGTCACATAGAGGTTCTAGTAGGCATATTTGATGTTACCTTTGGAAAGAGCCAGGCTAGCCGTTTCCCCTTGTTTGCAATCTTTGTGCTAAGCTAAGCTAACCCACTGCTCGCTGTATCTTTATATTTAGCATGCAGATATATGAGAGTCTCATGTAAAGCGAATCCAGAAAGAGAATCCCAAAATGTCGAACTATCCCTTTAGCAGCGTTACACTGCACTCGTTACACTGCATTTCAGGAAGTGGCACTAAAAAGAAACACAAAGCCAAGATGAAATATCCTATACAATTTAAACTGACTAAATCCTGACAAATCTATTAAAAAAACAACTTAACAGAAATGAAGAAAACCCCACTGCATGATATCCCCAAACAAGCTAAGAGATGTCAAAATAATACACCTTGCACTTCAGGTTGAAAAAGCTACCCTTCACATACCATTTACAAGAATAAATGAGGATTTTATTTCCTTTTTGACATAATTTGGGTCCATTTTTTTTTATTCTGTCATGTCATTTGAGGGCCTTGGGGTTAAATGCAGTGCTTTACTAACAATTAAATTTCTCAGTCGATGGGGCGTTGATGAGGTCATCTAAGAGAGGTCGCACTCATCAGCAAAATGTGATACTTTTTGACATTTAATTTCAGTGCATTTTCACACTGCTGACACTTTTAGCCTCAGAGATAGTTGTCACTAAACAGGGAAGCCGTTTTAGGTGATGGTTAAGCAATCCCATTTGTCAGACTGGAGCAGCATTTGGAAATATTTCTTAAAGCTGGAAGAAATGTTGAACATTAGGCAGTGCACACGAGACGTGGGGAGATGTTGTGGACATGAGTTGAAGGCTGATGAACATAAAGACAATAGAAAAGCATTGAATGCGCAGTATGAAGACGTAAATCCTTTAAGACAGCTACTAAAGCAAACAGTTTCTTCCTCACTCACACACACAGAAGTTCTTGGAGGTTAGATGTTACAAAGTCAGCATTCCTAACAAATCCTCTGGTGAGCATGACTTTCATACTGTATCTGCAATAGGCTTGTTAAAATCTTATGTTCTGCTGCCTGTGTACTGACCCAGTGGCTCTCTTGGGGTGTTTTCTACTGGACTTAAATGTCGTTTTTTTGATTTAACAAGGGTGCAAATTATTTCTGTGTCAGTGCGCCTGACCCAAATTAGCTTTATGCTGTGATTTGCACGACTATAAAGCATCACTAATAGATGTTCAGAATTCGTTTTTAAATGCTTTGTCTTGCAAACAGAAACATCTCTCATTCTCTTTTAGTTACTACTGCAAAGATAACATGTACAACTGATGAAATGACATTAGACGCAGAATCTACAGCGTCAGTTAGATCCCTTTCAATTAATGCAAAGCCACCGAGAGCACGCAGTAATGGGGGGAAAAGCAAGAAGGGATGAAAGTGCAATGAATGAAGAGCTCCAAAGGCAGAGATTAATCAAAGCAACAAACAGGTGGTGAATCAATGTCAGGACACAACCCTGTCAGAAGGAGCTGCTAAAGCCCTTCCACCTTCAGTGAGCAGGACTGAAATCCTCACAGAGAGAGAGCATCTAGGGAGAGCGTGACTCTTTCATACATCTGCGCCGTTCGCACCGGCACAAACTATTGTGTCTTGGCTGCTGACTAGGTGGTAATAAATCCATTGAGACAGACCGGAGACATATCACCCAGTCAACCTGCAGGATGATACATGAAGAATATATGGGGAAATGGTGTTTTTGAGACGAATCCAGCTGTTAGTTATAGTGCGAATGGCAATGAGAGGGAAAATGTGACATGTCTACTGATTAGTGAGGCGGGAAAATAGGCAGGCTTTGAGGCATTTCGTTTTCAGCATAATTAATCACAGGAACATGTTTTTTTTGATTTCCTACCAAGAAATGCATAGATGTGAGTTTAACTTTGAATCCATGACACTAATCAAAACAGTATCACATAGCTGAAATAAAAACATGGGACTGGTTCATCAAAGTCTAATATCATATTATTTTAATTGGGTAATCTCTAGCTAACTAATGAGTGTATGCTTTTAGCTGAGAAACCAACCAACAACACTTGAAGCAGGCAAAACCCTATTAACTTAATTTGCAAGTTTCCTTCCCTTTCAAATTTTATCCGTTTTGACACCTTAAACAAAAGGCGGAGAACACCTCAATGACAGACTGAGGAGCTGGTCTGACACCTCAGACTTGCCAGGAAATCTGTGTAAAGGAAGGAAACAAGACCCGCTCTCTGCTTTTTTCAGAGTCAGCTGTACATGTGGCCTTGTTTTCAAATTCTTTTTTTAAACACCAACACAAGAACAATTCCCCAATTCCCCTCATGGAGTGGATTTAAATTGAGTAATCGAGAGAAAAACTTTGAGAAAAACTATTTGTCATCCCAGCTGGGAGCCTATGTACTGGCAAGGATCACTAGAACTTTGTAAAACCTTCTGGACACAATTCTGCAGTCCGCATCAACACTAGATGAGAACATGAGAGTTAACAACACCTTCCCTAATGGTAGCTCCTCATGCCTTACCCTGGAACCCTGGAGTTATACAGCAACAGTGACCTCAAATGACACCCTTCAGGAGTGAAGTGGCTTTACGGTACTTTAAGAAACCTATTCCTGCAGCTTGCGAATGTGTAGGCTCTTCTCCAACTTTCTATTTGCTGTTTAATGCATTTATTTATCAGAAAATATGAGGCTTGTCTGATTTTGGCAGTCACTACGGTAGCCACTGCTGGTGAGCATGCAAAACATGTGGGGCCAGTAGCTTGGTGACCCAGTGACTAGCAGGGCTAGCTGGTGAACTGCTAGCTTTCGAGCTAACCATTAACAATTAACCATTAGCACTTGTCTGTTTAATCCCCCTAGCATTTTGTTGCACACCATTTCTTTCAATAGTTACTGACAAAGAGCTAAAGCTGTATGAGCTAACAAGCTTGCTAATGGTTAGCAACGTGGTAGCTCATTAGTGTAAGTTGAATTCTATGAGTAATGTGCTAACTCTGCCTCCTTGAGTGAATCCTCTAATTGCAGCGATTCCACTGGAATTAATTAATTCTCTGCAAAACTTCCCCATTGCAAATAATAAGCTACTGCAAGATAATAACCAAAAGCCCCACACTTTTAGCTTAAACTGTTACAAAATGATTTATATGAAAAAATGGGTGCTCAATAGGTTTGAGTGTGAGAATGAGTTTCTCACTTCTACTGTTTTTATAAACCAGTTTAAGAAACTAAGAGTTACATTTCTGTTACCAGTTTGCTAACTGAGAAATACTTTACAAATCACATCTGGGATTAAAAGGCTTTGACACAGTACTGGATTTCAAGCTTGGGTCAAGAGATCTAATGCTTGTACAGCACAGATTTATTTCCCCACTGTGCTATAAATGAGTGATGGTGATACTGGCCTGTGATCAGAATATACTGAAACATGGTACAGCTAACTGAGAGGGAGCTTAAATAAAAGCAAATCATATAGAAGAATCTACAATCCTGCCTGCACTTAATATGGTGACATTGTGTATAAGCATGCTTGTCCCTCCACCTTAAAGCCTCTTGACTCTGTATCACAGTGCGCTGCACTCAGAGGCCAAACATTTCTCACTCACCATACCATCTTATACAAAAACAGAACGGGAGCAACACTGTATTTTATATATTTAGGCTCTTCTGCGGCACCTCTGCTCTCTGGTTCCATTTAAATACAGTACTTACAATGTCTGGTCACAGGACATTTTAACCTTAGCTATACCTCTTGTTCAGATTGAACTTGGTAAAAGTGGGTTCAAATATTATGCTTCATACAAGTTACATTCTCTTATTGAAGACAATTTAAAAGGTTATACTTGTGTGTTTGCAATCACACTTGCAAAGCTTTTCTTTATTGTGAAATGTATAATGTGTGCCTACGCTTAACCTGTATATCTTTATTTCTGTACAGTGAAAAAGAGATTTTGACTTGACTTGAGATCTATCTCTTGAAAAAGACATCCAGATCCCAATGAGACTACCTGGAATGAAACAATGTTCATAGGTATGTTCATAGGTGCCCATGGCACATGGGTGACATGCAACACTTGTCCTATGCCCCTAACTCCCCTAACTGTCATCTCTCACCTGTCATTTAAACAAATCATGTGCGTTCTGGCAAATGTAAATATTTCACTGTTTAAGCCCATTAAAGCTGCAACAACCTTCAGTTGTTGTTTGTAACTCACTTCTTTTAAACTTTTTCATGACACATTATTTTGTATGACAAAATGACAAATTTCTGTTGGCCCCAGATCATAGCAGTACTAGAGTAAAGGTCCAGTGTGTAGGATTGAGTACGGTGGGCGTGAAACTGAGAAAAATGCAAACAGCCCTATCCACAGCC